AGGAGGGGAATGAAAGCGGAGTAGGAGAGGGGCAGGAAGAAGAGACGGTGAAGGAAAGAAAGAAAGGAGAGGAGGACGAGGAGGAGAGGTGAAGAGAAGGGACGAGGAACAGAGAAGAGGGCAGGTGAAGGAAGAGGAGGAGAGAATAGGGCAGGTGAAGGAAGAACAGGAGGAGAGAAGAGAGGCAGAGAAAAGAAAAACACAAGGACGAAATACGCAAACGATCTTGTAATAACGAGAGGAAGGGAAAAAAACATAAGGGAAGAATGAAAATGAAAGAATGAGCGAAGGCGAGTTGAATCTAATAATAACAAAACGATCTTGTAATAACGAGGGAGGGACGAAAAGTGAGAGACAGAAGGAAAGAATGAAAATGAAAGCAAGAATGAGAGAAGGCGAGCCGAACAGCCGACCGGGACGCGAGGAACCCGACGGCGAGGAGGAAGCAGGTGGGAGGGGGAGGGGAGGGGGGGGGGGCAGCAGGAGAACCGAACGCCGACGCCGAATGCAGACGCGCGGGGGGGAGGGGGGAGGGGGGGGGGGTCAGCGATCCCAAGGAGCTCTCGGGGTCCTTGCTCTTCTAGGTCAATAACAAGATAATTGGTTCCCGCCGCCACTCTTTGTTTCGACAACAAACTTATAATTGCTTCCTCATTATAACGACCAATTACGCTCCGGGCGGCCGCGCGACGAACGCACTCGCTGTGACAAGACCAGCTTAGTGTCGGCCTATGATCCCCCCCCCTTCTCCCCTCCTCTTCCTCCCGACCCTCCTCCTATTTCGCTTCCTCCTCTCCCTTCCTTTGCATCACCCGCTCCTCCCTTTCTTAATCCTTCCTTCCCTCCTCCTATATCATCCATCCCTCCATCTACGCCTCTCCCTCCATCCTCCTCTCGTCTCTCCTCCCTCTCTCCATCACCCATCCCTTACCTCCCCTCCCCTCTCCATCTTCTCCTCATCTTTCCCCAACCTCCCCTCTCCTCCCGCATTCCCTCCCTAACCTTCAACCCTCCCCTCCCCTTCCTAACCTTTCACCCTCCACAACCTCGCCCCATACCCCTACCCTCCAATTCTCCCTCCCTCCAATCCGCAATCCCTCCCTAAACTTTCCCCAACCCTGTCCTCTCCTCTCCCTCCCCTCCCCTCTCCTCCCCTCCCCACACGAGCATGGAGAGAAAACTTTCCCGCGCAAGTCCCCAAATGAGGCGCTGCGGTCGGCTCGCGCCTCCCTCCCGCCAATTAAAATCGCATAGAACAAAATCGCATCAGTTGTAGCATCAGCCGAGCCTCAGCTGACAAACGAATCGAGGGACAAATACTCCGACAATTAATTAGGCAATTAGACGAAGATAGTCGTGTCTGCCTTCGTCCTTTAGCGTCACATAATCTAATCCGTCATGCATTTTTTTTTTTTTCTTTCATTTATGCTGTTCGCCTTTCTTGTGGATGAAATAAATAGGTTGGATGATATTACGAGATGAGCGAATAGATAAACCATAAAGTAACAATGAAAAGGGTAAAAAAATTCATTCTCTCTCTCTCTTTTTTTTCTTTCATCAACCTCCCCATTACTCTCTCCCTCCCCCCTCCTTCTCCATTATCCTCTTCCTCTCTCTCCCTCCACCTTCCTATCCCCTCTCTTACTTCCTTTCCGTTCTTCTCCCTTCCTGCCTCAATCTTCCCTCCCCCTTCCTCTCTCTCTTTCTTCTTCCCTCTTCCTTTCCCTTCCCTTCCCCTCTTTTCTCCCTTTCCTTCCTCCCAACCTCTCCCTCTTCTCCTCCTTCCATTTCCCTCTCCCTCCCCCCTCTTTTACCATCTCCCTCTCTTTTTCCTCTCCCTCTCCCTTCCTCCAAACCAGTTATCACACCAGAATGCGGCGACATTTTAGACATTCTGTGCATCTGTCTCACTCTCACCAGCATACCGCGAATTCTTCCTGCTCTGTGCAATTTTTATTTGTCTTTCGCTTCCCTTTTTCCAAAAATCTTCCTGGCATACGGCACAATTCACCCATCTTCAATATTTGCTCAGATGACGGCACTCGCCCTGCCCCTCCCCCCCCCCCGCCCTTCTCCCCCCTTCCGACAAATTGCCAAAATTCTGCATTTGCCTACTGCAAAGGGGCCTTTTTGCAAATATTGAACCGGCTCGCAAATTTTTACCTTTCCGCCTGGCCGCTATACATATTATACTATCATACCCCTGTGTTGGTTTGTATATCAAATGATGGTGTATATTTGCTATTTATGAGTGCAGTGTGTGAACATTTGTCGTGAACTGTGTGTGTGTGTGTGTGTGTGTGTGTGTGTGTGTGTAGTTGACATGTTTTGTGTGTGCCTGTGGCCGTGTTGTAGTTGTGGTGGTTGTGTGTGTGTGGTGTGTGTGTGTGCGTGTGTGTGTGTGTGGTGATGTGTTGCGTGTGCGTGTGCGTTGTGCGTGTGCGTGTGCGTGGTGGCGGTGTGGGTGTGTGGTGTGGTGTGCGTGTGCGTGTGCGTAGTGTGCGTGGTGTGTGTGCGTGGCGCTCGCTGTAGTGTGAGTGTCTGTGAAAGTGTGAGTGTGAGGTGTGTGTATGAGTGCGCGTGTGAGTCTGTGTTCCTACATAAATAAGATAACGTATATATATTTCCAATCCGTGAAACGAAACTAGGCCTATGTGAAAGACGGAAATAGAAAACGGAGTGGTTATCTCCCTGAAAATCTTACCTACGAGACCTGAAAACACTGTGGGTGTGACTGATGGGTTTGCGGGGAAGGGAGGAAGGAAGGGAGAGAGGGAGGAAGAAGGGAGGGAGAGAGAAGAAGAGAGGAGGGAGGGAAGATGGGGAGGGAGGAGAGGAGAGGCGGAGGAAGAAGAGAGGAGGGTTGGAGAGGGGAGGGAAGAAGAGGAGGAGGGAGGGGGTAGGGAAGAAGTAATTTAAATAAATAAAGAAAAGAAAGATGACGAAGAAGGACTATTAATTAATTTAAATAATAAACGAGAAATGGAGAAGAGGATAAAAGAACAAGGAGAAGGAAGAAAGGGAATTGGTCGAGGAAGTAGAAGTAAAGATAGAAATTGGGATAAATAGAGTGAGGAGGAGACAGACAATTAGGAAAGGAGATAAGAGGGTGAAAGGGAGAGGAAATGCATCGAGGAGGTAAGGTGGGTCAGGAGAGCAGGAATTGCAGAACACAATGGAGGATAAGAGAACGCATAAGACGAGGACGGTGAGAAGAAGGAAAGGAGTGGGAACGTAAGTAGGGAATGAAGGAGAGAAAGCAAGAAGGGAAGGAAGGGAGATGAAAAAATGTAAACAGGGAAAAGGGGAGAGGGGAGGGAGTGCATGCAGGAAAAAGAGGTGAACAACCAAGCACCCTCCCAGGCAAAGGAGTGGATATCGCGCATCCACCTTATGAGCAAATCCACTCACAATCGACTCTAAAGGTCATTACGTATCATCCAGGGAGGGCGAGAGGGGAAGAGGAGCGCAGGACACAAGCGTGCGGGGGGGGGGAGCACCTGCAAGTTGGAGAGATGCAGCAGGGGAGAGGGAGCGAGGCTGGGGAGTTAGGCAAGGGGAGAGTGGAGGAGTGGGAAGGGAGGAGTGAGGAAGAGAGATGGGAGGAGGTGGAGCGGAAGGGAGAGAGGCTGGAGAGAGACAAGGGAGGAGTGGAGAGTGAAGGGAGAGAATGGAGGAGTGGAGGAAGGGAGAGAGTCTGTGGAGTAGGCAAGGGGAGAGTGGGAGGAGTAGGAAAAGGAGGAAGAGAGAGGGGGAAGTAGGCAAAGGGAGAGAGTGGGAGGAGGAGGAGTGAAGGGAGAGGGAATAGGGAGAATGAGTGAAGGTAGAGAGCGTTGGGAGAGTAGGGGAGAGAGTGGAGAGACAGACAAAGAGAGAAAATGGGACAAAGGAGAGAGAGAACGAGTGATGGGTGGGAATGGGGGAAGGGTGTGAGAAGAGAGTGCGTAGTAAAGAAAGAAGGAAGAAAAAGGAGTAGAGGAGAGGGTTGTAACGAAGGGAGAAGGATTGCGGAGACACAGTTGGGAAAGTGGGGGAGTGGTGGGGAGAGGTGGAGTTTATGGTGGGACTCTAGGGACAGGACCTGGTGGGAGGAATCTTAGAGAGAGGAAGGAAGTAAAAGAGAAAGAAACTGAGGAAGAGGGAGTGGGGGAATTGCAGCAGAGGGTGAGGGGGGGGGGGGGGGGGGAGAAGGGAGAAAGAAACCAGAAAATAGTAACCTTGTGAAAATTGTATCAGGAAAGCGGAAGAGTTAACCGGAGAAGAAAGAAGAAGAAAAAAATGTAGAAGACGAAGAAGAAAGAAGAAGAGAAGAAGAAGAAAAAGAAGAAAAAAAGAGAAAAAAGAAAAAAGATAAAAGAAAAATAAGAGAGAGAGAGAGAGAGAGAGAGAGAGAGAGAGAGAGAGAGAGAGAGAGAGAGAGAGAGAGAGAGAGAAAGAGAAAGGAAAGAAAGAAAGAAAAAAAGAAAGAAAGAAAGAAAGAAAGAAAGAAAGAGAAAAAGAAACAAGAGAAAGAGAAAGAGAGAGAGAACAAAAGATAAATAAATCAGAAAGGGAAGAGGCCCCGCATGAATAACACATGCGGGCGAATAAAGGAGGCGGTCAGGCAAAGGTTATCCTTTCGACTGTTTTTGTTAATATTAATGTATACTGCAAGTTTGAAGGGGATTCCAAGATCTGTGGAAGAAATAGGGGAAAGGGAGGGGAGGGGAAGGGGGAGGAGGAGGGGAGGAGGAGGAGAGGAGGAGGGAAGGAGGAGAGGAGAGAAGGGAAGGAGGCGGGAGGGGGAGGAGGAGGAGAGCGAGGGGGGAAGGAGGAGGAAGAGGAGGAGCAGCAGCAGCAGAAGCAGATGATGAAGAAAAGAATAAGAATAGACAGAACAAAGAAATTAAGAAAAAAATAAGAAAAAAGAGACCGATAGGAAAGGGAGAGAAGCGAGGATCCTGACCCTCGCCAAAAAAAAAAAAAAAAAGAAAAGACAGACGAAAACCAGAGCAACTCACGATCGTCGGAGATGACGTCCAGCTTGGCCTTGGCGGTGATGGTGTCCCCGGCGGTGTTCTCGGCCACGCACTCGTACGTGGCCTCGTCGCGCAGGAACTTGACGGGCTCGATCCTCAGGATGGATCCGCCGGGCACGTTGAGGATCATGTAGCGAGTGTTGCCGCTGACCTTCCGGCCGTTCTTGCGCCACTGGATCCGCGGCTCAGGGTTGCCCGTGGCGCGGCACGTGAACGAGGCCACGCGGTCGTTCATCACGATCTGGTCGACGGGCCGCTCCTCGAACTGCGGCGGGTCTGCGGGGAGAAAGAGGGGCGTGGTTAGGAGGAGGTGGGTCCTTCGCTAAGGGGACGTTCCTTCGACCTTCCGGACTCTGAGGGGCGTGATTAAGAGATGGGTGAGTCCTGCGCTAAGGGGCGTTCCTTCGACCTTCGGGATTCTGAGGGGCGTGATTAAGAGATGGGTGGGTCCTGCGGTAAGGGGCGTTCCCTCGACTTTTGGGATTCTGAGGGGCGTGGTTAAGGGGGTATGCATCTTTGCCTAAGGGGCGTTCCTTCGACCACCTAGGACTCTGAGATTCGGCTTCGTTCAAGGAAGCGCCGCAATGTATGCTAATTATGAGGGAAGATATTTAAAAACTTCGGAGACAATAATGACCTCGTATTTTCAAAAGGATATACAAAGGGAAATGTGTACACGGAGAGAGAAAAGATGCAGAGGAGAGAAAGACAGAAAGAAAGAAAAAGAAAAAAAAGGAACCCGCACAAAAAGAAAGGAGGGAAAGAAGTAAAAAATATATATATACATTTATACGTGGAGATAGTCATCAAGAAAGGAAACCGGAAGGAGGAACCGCGGAGAAAGGGAGAAAAGCGGGAGAGAGAAACGCGGATAAACCAGGGACACAAGAGGGCCTAACGAAGAAGCGCAGGGGCGTGGAGGAGAGGGAGGAAGAGGCAGGACGGCGCAGGAGGAGAGCACGCGAAGGAGGACAGTCCAGCGCCGTCCTCACAATGGTCTTATTGTCTCCCTGCAAGAAGTTTATTTTTGTGATGTTCTTTTCTTCGCTCTTTAGCAACCGGAAGGAAAGGTTCAATAACTTTAATTGCTTCTACGCCCTCAGGTACGCTACTGCAGATAAATCTTAGCATCATAGCATTTCAACGGACATGATATGTCAGGAACTCAATCCATCTTTCCAGTAAAAAACGTCAGTTTTGCATAAGTATCCATGTCTCTGAAATAAAAAGGCATACCATTAAAACAGACAAAATACGCACACGTGTACACATCCCTCCAAGCCCAGTTCCAAGACCGCGCACCTGGGGACTTTCACACCCATGTCCAACTGACCTCGCGGGGCAACAAAGCGACAAGCCTCATCCAATGTCCTCTACAAAGAGGTCAACAAGGTCGCGAATCCCCCGCTATACTTACGAGTAATGAACTCTATAAACGAGAAGACGTTGTCGGGCGAGTTGTCGGCGGCCGCCTCGCTGTCCCCGCCGCCAGGGTCTCCCTCGGCGGTGCTGTTCACGCCGCTAGTGTCCGCTGTGGCTGGAGCTGCGGCGGGAGCAGGGGGGGGGGGAAAACGGAGGAGGGCGTCCTACAGTAGCCGTTCAGATGGGCGGTTGCGGGCGTGCAGGACCTCAAGCGGCCACACGCCAGGCATTTTATATCATGGCTATATCCGCATGGCAGTATATACGACTTTTTATTCACACGGAAATGTATAGTTTGTCCGCTATGAGGGGCGTTGGTACACTTTCACGCGAGCGGGGAAGGCTGTGTCCTTTGGAATCAGGACGCCAACTCTGGCGACAACGAGCGCAGTCGATGTCTCCTTCTGCTGCGTGTTCCGGAGATCCTGACCGCAGGGCATGCGAGGAAAGGCCAAATATGGGAATTGCTGCAATCGCAATCTCGAACATTTCACACATCGTCAGCGCGTCAACAATGAACCAAAAAGGACTGGTATGTAAGTATAAATACACGTGGTCATATACTATATATATACATATATATACATATAGATAGATAGATAGATAGATAAATAGATATCCATTTTGGGTTTACAGTAAGATGACGAGTCTAGCGTGGCTCTAAACGTCACAGTTTATTGTTTCCTTTTTTACTATGTATGTGCTTCCTTTTAGCCTATTACATATACATACATACATATTATATATACATAAATATACATATATATACACAGACAGACAGACAGACAACACACACACACACACACCACACACACACACACACACACACACACACACACACACACACACACACACACACACACACACACACACACACACACACACACGCACGCACACCACACCCACACACATTGAGCTCCCGACATCTGAAACGCAAAAGGCCAACACGAAGTTTCTTCCGTTCCTTCATAAGCGAAAGGAGGAAAATAAACGCAGACTCGAACGCCAAAGTTCCTGCATCAACATCTCCCTCCGTCAAGCAAGAGCGCTGACGTGGAGACCCTTTTCATTTTTTTTTCTTATTTATTTATTTATTATTTTAAGAATAAACATCTCGACGTCGCGAAGGGAAGACGTCACCCCCCCTCTCCCCCACCCAACCCACCCACCCACCTTCCACCCCACCTGCTCGCCTCTACCCACGCCCGCACCCCCGCCAGCAACACTCGCGAAAATTTATTCGCTAGGATTTTTCCCCAGTGAGAATATGCGCGTCGCGTCTCGTCAGCTGAGAGTATTGGGGGGGGGGGGGGAGAGAAGGAGAGGGGATAGGGAGGAGGAGGAAGAGGAGGTCGTGTGGCGGTGGTGGAGGGGAGAAGGAGGAGAAGGGGAGAAGGGAGAGAGGATAGGGAGGATGAGGAGGAGAGAAGGGAGAGATGATAGGGGGGAGGAGGGAGAGAGGATATGGGGGAGGAGGAGAGAGGATAAGGAGAGGAGGAGGAGAGGGAGAGAGGATAGGGAAAAGAGGAGGAGAAGGGGGAAAAAGAAGAGAGAGAAGAGAACGGAGAGGGAAAGAGAGGAGGGGACCGTGAAGAGTAGAAAGAGGATACAGAGGAGGGGAGAGGAGAGAAGAGGAAGGGCGGGGAACGGCTAGAAGAGAGGGGCACTACCCATCGCATCTGTCGCCCCGCCATGTCAGGGAGCAGTCCTGGAATAATCGCTTCGCCGCCGCCGTCCCTCGCCCCGCCGGGAACTCGCTCTAACATTTCCCGCAAAAAAAAGCAAAAGCAAAACAAAAGAAAATACTGATACAAATGAGGTAACGCAGAGACCGTCTCTGGCGAGCTCTTTTGCTAGCTAGAGAGAGGGAGGGGAGAGGGGGAGGAGGGGGAGAGGGAGAGGAGAGGAGAGAGGGAGAGAGGGAGAGGGAGAGGAGAGGGAGAGGAGAGAGGCGGGAGAGAGAGAGGAGATGGAGGAGAGAGCAGAGGAGAGAGAGAGAGAGAGAGAGAGGGAGAGAGAGAGAGAGAGAGAGAGAGAGAGAGAGAGAGAGAGAGAGAGAGAGAGGAGAAAGAGAGAAAGAAAGAAAGAAAGAAAGAAAGAAAGAAAGAAAGAAAGAAAGAAGAGGAAAAGAAAAGACTCGATACCTATGACACACCCCAACACCCTGCCTTCTCGTCTCCTCACCGATACTCCGAAACGCCGCTAAAAGCTGAGTTGCTAAATAATACAGCTGAAGGAGTTCCAATAACCGGGAACAATAACGGCGTTGGCAACACTGCAATTATGGCTACAGTTCTTCCTCGTGTGAAATTAAATGAATACAGAAGTTACACTACTGCCGCCACGGTTAACCCAGAACTATAAAAAGTAATAACGGGAGGCCATAAAACTGTCGCAATGCTGCAATACCTAAAACAGCGCCGCCGATACCCTGTCTATGACTCCCTAATTATTCAGGAGAAGGAACCGCACACTCCGCCGGGAAGCGGTTCGCGATTCGCTCCCATACATACATACACAGACAGACAACGCACATAAACATATACACAGACTACACATATACACAGGCAGCGCACATACACATACAGGCAGACAAAATACATATACATACACACACACACACACACAAAGTACATACACATACACAGACAAACAACGCACATACACATAAGCAGACAGATAGAGACACATGTGCCCGTGCGCCAGCACACACACATACAGAGAATTGTGTATTTGCACGTACATACACAGAAACAGAAAAGCGTGTACAAACTCAAGCACGCACATACATACATACATACATACACGCACACACATAATCTCGTAACATGAGCATTCAAAAGAACAACAGTATTACTGCCTCCTGTTCTCGCGTTTCCAGCAAGACAGTTAATTATCAATGTCAGTTACTGCGAACGGAAAGTCGCTTCTGGCGTACTTTCGTGAATAAATAAATCCGCCAATACATATTATATAAAAAAGAAGTAATAATTAATACAAATGCGTAGTTGCGGGTGGTATAATGAGTGAGTATGGGTGAGCACGATTGAGTTTGAGTGAGAATGACTGACTGACTGACTGACGACTGACTAATTGACGACTGACTGACTGACGACTGACTGACCGACTAACTGATGACTGACTGACTGACTTGACTAATCAACTGACTGACTTATTGACTGAGAAGTTATCGTGCGCGCGACCTAGCGTGTGCGCGTATGCCCGTGTACATATCTGTATTCGCGTGTGTACATGCAGACGATAGGATATTTCGGCTGTAACATCCAGCCTCATTCCCGTTGCATGAAATTACTGTTGCAACACCGAAATTCCTCACTGAGTTCTCTCTATTCCCTCTCCTCTTTTCTCCTTTCTTAGTAATAACGAAAATGGTGGTGGTGGAGGTGATAAATATCAAAATAACAATAACACTTTCAAAAATAATAACAACGACGATGACGATGATGATGACGATGACGATGGTGTGTGTGATGATGATGACGATGACGATTGTTGATGACGATGATGGTTGGTGGTGGTGGTGATGATGATGATAGCAACAACAATTATAAAAAAATATTTAAAGACAACGACGCCAAAAGAGAAATTGTAACAATGATGGCGGTAATAAAAATGATAACAACAACATCAACATCAATACTAATCCAACGTCAACGCTGACAAAGGAAGAAGATGATCAACAACAGCCCCTCCCCCCCCCCCCCAAAAAAAAAGAGGAAAAAGAGAGAAAAAATAATAAAGAGGAAGTGAGTAACAACCGACCACAACCTTACTCTAATTGTTTCCTCTCCTCCCGATTCCGCGCGCGAAACGACCCAAGTTTCTCTCGTATTCT